GTCCACGTTGTGGACTAGTACGTGTGAGAAAGCACACGTGGTTCTGAATGTTCTAGCAGGGAATGCTCCATAACATTTGGAAGAGGTTTTTCTATAGGTCAACCTGTTTAGGTTTAGAACCACTTACAAGAAGTGGGGTCTACTTGGACGCTACAGAAAAATGATTCCATCAAGTCCTCAAACAGGGGTATCCAATTCTAGGGAACTTGGTGCACGTTGCGGCCTCTGCACCACTTGAAAAAACAGGGAGAACCACTCTGAAGTATCCGTCGCTACGGTACTTCACCCACGGAGGAAAAAACAGGGAGAACCACTCTGAAGTAGCTGTCGCTACAGTACTTCGCCAGACAGGAGATTCTCAGAGAAGCAGAACCTGGGTACTTGTTGCGGCAAGGTACCTGCTGAAGGCAGAGTCGACTTGAGCCCCATCCTCACCGGAGGTGCTGGGTATACAGAAGACGCCAGTTAAGGGCCATTGAAAGAAGGCACCCAGACCTTGCCGAGGCCAGTTTTCAATCGAGAAAACACGGATAGGAAGGACGATTGGTTATAGGACACCAAGCAGAGGAAATCAAAAGCCAGAATGACCAAGCGCTCAAACGGGAGTAGGCAGGAGTTCGAAGTGACTAGCTGGGCACTTTAAAAAGTGAGCACAGGATATCTGAGGTCTAGAAAAGAAGACTAGGACTCCGACTGGTTGACGCTACCAGGCAAATCAAAAGGCGTACAAGATTGGTTAAGGGCCACCAAAGATCAAAAGGCAGGAGTGCGAAGTTTTTGTTACAGGAACGAACTCAAGCACTAGCGATTACTCATGTGGTAATCCAGAAGAGAAGCCCTCATCTGAGGCACACATTGAAGACGTGCTAAAGCCCTTCCCAGGGAAGGCAATCAAGGAATCTTAGGACAAGACAAGATTCAAAATGAGTGCTCCATGGGAACACGACCGAGTATCTGAGGAAGATACACCAGAAATACGACCGGTGACTTCTGACGAAGAAGTACCACCATTTACGCTCAGTGACGCCACCACAGAGGAGTTAAAAGACCTCTACGACAAAAAGTCGACAGAAGCGGTTCAACTTCGACTTCAATTTAGGCTAGGACGAGCCTACGAACCAACAGATCACCCAAGGCTAGAGCAGCTCGAGGGTGAGATCGAAGAAATAAGACAAGTCCTTCACGGAAGGGAAAACTTCGACGAAGAATCTCTACGAGCCTTTGATGAAGCAACAGAACTTTCACGAGGAGAAGCAATCCAAGTTGAATGACAGGAAGGGCGTTCACAGGAAACCAGTGGATTACAGCCAGTTAATCCCCTTGGAACAAGAGCAGTTCCACTCGAGAGATCTATATTGGACAGTACTACTAGACCAGATTCTCCAGGAATCACACATCTCAGGAGGGACCAGCCACTCCACCTACCCAATGCGCCTGGAATCACACGTTCAGTTTCAACCAGATCAAGACCAACCGGTAGCTTCCAGTTCTCAGGAAGTATGGCTACACACGCACGATACAACCCGGCTCTCGAACCACCAGTCCATCCCGAAACTTGCACCGACACCATCTGGAACGAGTACCAACAAGCCTTGGGACTCTATTCATAATACCAGGGAGCAATCCCCAAGCAGCCAGCGGCACGGGAAAAGAAGATGGGAAAAATCAAGGAGTTTAAGGGAGACAAACGAGAATATGCATCATTCCTCCGAAACGTGGAATGATACCTACAGGCAAACACGGGAGTCTACAATGATGACTTCAGCAAAATTGCCTTCATCCTCTCTCAAATCGACTCCTCGTCCACAGCAGGAAAGTGGGCTGAGTCATGGGAAGCCAATCAAATGGCAAAACACAGCAATCTTGGGACGTACCAAGATTTCAAAATGACGCTTACTGAAAAGTATGGAGGTGTCACAACGAAGGACCAAGCTTGGCAAGTACTTCTCGAAGGGAAGTACAAGCAGAACAAGCAAACCGTCAACGAGTATATCGGAAATCTCGATATTCTCTACCGATATGCTGAAATCGACGACGAATACGCCAAGCTCATTCACTTCAAATGAGGCCTTAATGAGAAACTTGCAGAAAAAGTCTTCATCACTAAAAGTCCACCAACGACCTATGCAGCAGCATGCAAGGCCGCAAGAACAGTCACGGATCTCCAGAACATTCATAGCGGAAAGACAAATATCTTCAAGTTCATCTCAGGCTCTTCAGGAAGTGGAAGAAGGACGGAGAAGGACCCTGATGCAATGGACGTTGACCGGATCTCCTCAGAAACCCATCAGAAATGTTCTGTGGGTGGATTCTGCTACAACTGTGGAAAGTCAGGACACGTCGCTGCACAATGCATGAGTCCAGAATATGATCCGGCACCAGATCGCTCAGGAAAGACAGCTTCATATGCCAAGACCAAGACGTCCAATTCCAGGATGAAGAAATACTCCGGATCTGGCAGATGAAGAAAGACTTCCAAGCCGATTAAATCTTACGCCAAAGGAACGGAAAAGAAATGCCGACGAGTAAAGAGGATCGAGGAAAGCGACTCAGAGGATAACTCGGAGGAATCGGAACAGGCAGAATCGGAATCCTCATCATCAGAAGAGTCAGAATCTGAATCATCAGACTCTGAAGAAGCATCCGAACAAGAAACGGTTGTTCACAGGGTACGAAGAACTCGCCCTGTTAAAACCAAAATAATTCGCAAAATCAGGCGAACCAAGGATGAATCCAGCGACTCAGAAGAAGAGTCACATGTGGTCCGAAGATTCATCCCAAAAGAAGAACTTGCTAGAATATGACGGGAAGATGCACTCAAAATGCGAGGAGACCATATTAAGAAATGCAACATGACGATGCCCCATCTTGACAATCTTCTGGAATTCGGAGACAATCCAGATAGATATGAATATGCATGCCGATATCCACCACCCATGGAAAAAGATGATCCAGAGGGTTTTGGAATTGGGTGCGCGTTGGGATCTCGTGGCACCCAGATAAAGAAACGATCCCCGAGGAAGTAATCATACGAGGCGATATCAAACGAGGAAGCGAAATATACCTCAATATTGTTTTCCAAGATTACGATGGCACAAGAACCCGAAGTATTCCAGCAAGAGCCTTAGTCGATTCTGGAGCAAAAGGAATGTTCATCAATGAATTGTTCACGAAGAAAGTAGGACTCCACCTTCTCAAATCACAGAAGGAAGTCAAGATTCACAGTGTCGATGGAAGTCCCATTAACTCTACAAACCAACGATTCAAAGGAACTGTTCATGCAGGAATGTACGAATGGAATGATGACTTCCTTGTCATCGACTTAGGAAAAGAAGAAGTGATCATTGGCAATACGTGGCTTCATGATCACAACCCAATTATCAATTGGCAAACGGGTGAAGTCACGGTCCGTCAATATGTAGAAGACGTACCAGACCAGGAACCATGGCCTTTTAAAGACAGAGACGCTGTTTGTCTTCCAATCACCAAAAAGGAGAAAGCCAAAGCCAAGCGAACCTTGAGAAGGGTCGACTGGTCTGATGTTGATCCCGCACCAGATGAAGCAGGAACCATTGACTTGGACCTCTTGCTTGCATACATAAAAGGAGCACCATACTTGAAGGATCAGGAAATAGGAGAAAAAGAAGCTATTTTCGCCTATCAACCTGATACTGGCATACTCCAAGCAGTTACGTTCGAAGAAAAAGAACATCGCTCGGCCGGAGAAAGGAAGATGCAGTATCTCGCACTGCGACGAACGAATGCCCCCAAAGATCCCCATCAAACAAGAAAGAAAGATGGAATCTTATGGAAGGCATCAAACAAAGCGCAGGAACTCGCACAAAAGAAAGCACTCGAGGAGAAGAAGAATTCCAAAAAGAAAGTAACGATACCATCATATCTTCTCAAATACAAGCAGATTTTTGAAGAAAAGGCATCAGGTCGGTTACCACTGCATAGATCTTACGATCACAACATAGACTTCAAGCCGGATTTTGTTCCTAAATGAGGAAAGGTCTATAATCTATCAAAGCCGGAAGAAGAAGCTATGAATGCCTTTATCGACGAAAACCTTGTGAAAGGATATATTCGTCCTTTGCAATCTGCGATGGCATCACCTTTCTTCTTTGTAGGAAAGAAAGACGGCGGGCTACGTCCATGTCAGGACTATCGCTATGCGAATGCAGGAACAATTAAGGATGCCTATCCACTCCCACTCATATCGGACCTAATGGATCGACTCCACCATGCCAAGTGTTTCACAAAGCTTGACATTCGTGGAGCATACACCAATGTCCGAATTCGTCAAGGAGACGAGTGGAAGGCTGCCTTCATCACCAAACGTGGATTGTTCGAACCCACGGTCATGTTCTTCGGAATGTGCAATGCACCGGCAACCTTTCAGCGAATGATGAATGAAATATTCGCAGAAGAAATTGCCGAAGGATGGCTACTATGCTATCTGGATGACATCCTCATCCTTGCCGAAAGCGAAAAGAAGTTGGAAAAGAAGCTTGAATGAGTCATTAAGAAAATGGTCGACAATGACCTCTATCTCAAGCTGGAGAAATGCGTGTTCAAGACTATGCACACTGACTTCCTAGGACTGGTTCTCCTCCCAGGACGACTTCAGATGGATCCAGCAAAAGTCAATGGGATCATCAAATGGGAAGCCCCGACTGGCGTAAAAGGAGTGCGAGCATTTCTAGGATTCGCCAACTTCTATCGAAAGTTCATCCGGAACTATTCTGAAATCGCAAGACCCTTAATTGATCTTACCAAGACCAAGGGCGGGAATGTGTTCCATTGGACAAGCAAAGAACAAGCCACTTTCGACTATCTCAAAAACAAGTTTGGCAAGGCACCAATACTGGTTATGCCAGACAAAGACAAGCCTTTTGTCATCGAAACTGATGCATCGGACTTCGCTACAGGAGCAGTCCTCATGCAGAAGGACGATAATGGTGACCTCCATGTCTGCGCGTATTATTCCAAGTCGCTCTCTGATCCGGAACGAAATTATCAAATCTATGATAAGGAGCTGCTAGGAATCATCCGCGCACTCAAGGAATGGAGACACTATCTTGACGGAACAAAGGAGCCATTTCTCATACGTACTGATCACAAGAATCTGACGTACTTCAGGCAACCGCAGGATTTGAATCCAAGACAGCGAAGGTGGCAACTCTTCTTGTCTATGTTCAATTACAAGATTGTCGATACGCCAGGATGACAAATGGTGCAAGCGGACGCGCTTTCATGGTTGTCTGAATTAGACAATCGCCAGGACAACAAGTCACCTGCAATCCTGCTACCCGACGATCTCTTTGTTGGTGCTATTGATACCGATATGGCGGAACAAATCCAACAAGCGCTAACAAAAGACCTGTCAGTACTCGCGTACAAGGACGGCCTAATGGAAAAACTTCCAGTTCCTCGAGGAATGACCAAGAATAACATCAAGGATGCTGACAATGGGTTAATCACCATCTATGGATGCGTATATGTCCCAAATAATACTGCCTTGAAGAAGGAAATTGTTCAGCGATATCATGAGGCCACTCCCCATGGTCATCCGGGAATCTGGGTTATGCACCAACTTGTGCGTAAAGACTTCTGGTGGCCAGGAATGTATCGCTTCATCCAAAGTTACGTCAACGGCTGTGCCACATGTCAGCAATCCAAAGCTGTTCGAAACAAGGCCGAAGTTCCACTACAGCCCATCGGTCCTTCATCCAATGCGCTACCTTTCAAGCAGGTTAGCGTGGATTTTATTACAGATCTACCCAACAGCGAAGGCTTCGATTCAATAATGGTCATGGTAGACCATGGGCTTAGTAAGGGGGTAATTCTATGTCCCTGCAAGAAGATGATCACTGCTTCGGAAACTGCCGAGCTATTCAGATGACAAGTTTGGAAACGTTTTGGGCTACCCGACAAGATCATCTCTGACCGTGGAACGCAATTCGCATCCAAAGTCTTCCAAGCACTGTGCACTGCCCTCAAGATCAAGTCGGCTATGAGCACAGCCTATCATCCGCAGACGGATGGTGAAACGGAACGAATGAATCAAGAATTGGAAACATATCTTCGAATGTATTGTGCCGAGCAACCACATCGATGGAATCAATTCCTATCTGAAGCAGAGTTCGCGCACAATCTCCATACTCATTCAGTAACGAAGAAGTCACCATTTGAAATATGGTATGGCTACGAACCCCGAGGAATGCCAGAACTGTTTTCTCAGGATGAGATCTCCGACGTAGATACAAGACTCAAACTTCTCAGCATGATCCGCAAGGAGGCCACAGAAGGAATCATCAAGGCAAAAGCCCGTGTATCTGCCAGGATCAAAGGAGGATCTCCGACATTCAAGAAAGGAGACAAGGTTTGGCTGGAAGCCACCAATTTGAAAAGGCCTTACAAATCGAACAAGCTAGCACCGAAGCGAGAAGGACCATTCAGGATCAAGGAGGTTCTGGGACCACTCTCATTCAAGTTAGACCTTCCTACGACATGGAAGATCCATCCGGTGTTCCATGCTGCATTGCTCACGCTGTATCGGCAGACCAATACACATGGGGAAAGCTATTCAACACCGCCTCTGAATCTTATCGAAGGAGAGGAAGAATTTGAAATTGAGTCTATAATTGGACACCGACTACAGTGCAGCAAGAACGAATATCTGGTAAAATGGGCTGGATATCCACTCAGCGAAAGGTCGTGGGTAAAGGAGACAGAAATGGGCAATGCAGGAGAGCTGCTGAATGAGTATAAAAGGGAGCACAACTTGACCTGAACCCTCAGTCCATGCCCCAATGCCCGTGCAACATCCTGAGTTTCTCGAATCTGCTATCACCACTTTTACCCATCTTATCGAAGTTCTCAAAGACGTCGAATCCAACTCCTCCCACGACCATCGCTACCAGGTCTTCCAACAACTCGGAGTCTATCTCGCTATCAGAGGGGCTGGATTTGCCATCGAGGATCTTGCCGACTTCGACCATACTAACGTTGAGTTCAACACGACCCATCCAAACCATGATGGACCATCTCATCCAGAGAG